TTCTTTTCTCTTTCCAACAAACTATTATCCTTGTCTCCAATGCTAGTAATAATTGCACAGGAAAAGATTTAGTAAACCTATCATTTTTAGTTGCTGTTTAATTATGCAAGTTTACTATGTTATTGTTTAGTCGGTTTAAATGTTAGAATTTTCTTCTTTAAACTTTAATGTTGTCGTCACTACATCTGGAAAACCACGTAAGAACAAATTAAAAGTATTTTAAAAGAGACCAAGTTGTTTGAAAATCCTAAACGAATGCTAAAAATCGTCAAAACATTCTGGTGTCTAAGCCAGAGTGTCATCGAATTGCGATGTAATGTAAACAGAAATTATAGCAAGTTGATGTCAGTCAGCTTAGATGGTCCAAGCCAAAATTATATCGCATTTGAAGTTTCAAACTGAGTTAAAAATAGTGGAAGAAAAGCCGTAATTATACTTATTGTTACAATCCATTTAATAAAATGCAACATTTTTTTGTTTTAATGAAAAAATCAGTTATTTTCATGAGAACGATTTGTTATTCCATCTCAATTTTTTTAATCTCCAATCGCAATAACGTAAAGTATTATTGCCCGCGAACCAATGAGTCAAATTTAAGAAACAACCCACTGTCACAGAATAAGGAGAGGACCAGAAGGGCCACTCGGGTCGGTGCCTTTGATGTTTGTGTTCCCGCGCATGTCGCCTCGCGCATCTCGGCCGCCATCTTCCTAGCCAGTCGATTTCTAATAAACATTAAGGCGGTAGTAAGGGGAACAGCAAAGAATTGCATATATCTCTCAGATACGTTCGTAAATTTTTAACTTGTCGCAAGTATAGAAAAATTTCAGGTATGTTCTCTTTTCTGCTTTCATTGAAACATTAGTTGACACTTTTTAAGCCCGTATTTTAAAATTTTATTTCGCGACTTTCAGGACGCTCCTGGACCTGGCGTCGCATACTGCAACCACTACTATTTAATTTTTTTCTTTGGTTTTGTGACATAACTATCAAATCAAGTTATATTTTTTATATATCTGGGCTTGTACAGCGATTAACTAATTTCAAAATCGTGCATCTCAAATCTTCAATCAAAACAGACCTTTCTCGTGGGCTATTCCATTTAAAAGACGTAACCCCCCTATCGAGGTCAAGGGTTTTACTATATCCCTGAAGAATTCCTGACATAAACCCTGAAGAATTCCTGTTAAATAGCATTTACCCCTGAAGAATTTCAATTTTTACATCTGACCCCTGAGGAAATCTCATTCAAAATAACCAACCCTGAAGAATTCTACAGGAGAATTTGTTCACCCATAAGGAATTCCAGGGTTAAAAATTACCTTACCCCTGAAGAATTCCAAGGTCCCCGATAAGGGGTAACGGATATTAAATGGAATAGCCCCATATAAAAGCATTGTCTGGTTTGTTTCTTTTCCTTTGAACTCAGTCCCAGCAAACAAAAATTGTAATAGATTGTCGAAAAGTTCTGTTCTAATTTGTCAATGAGAGTCTGTCCTCACTCCTTGCATTCTTTTGTGTGATATTTGCCATATTAGTCTTTCAGATTCAAAATAAAGGTCGATGCACAGATAACTATGACCAGATAAATGACGAGAAAACTGGAAAACATTAAAAATGGGACAGATTTAAAATTGTTTATTAATCTATAAATACAGATTGATTAATACTGCCATGTATTTAGTCTAAATGCAGATTTATTATTACTGTACTGGTTTCTATGCTCATTAATAGGTTATAAGTTAGAGTTATAAACCGAGAAGGAGGCTTATAACTGATATATTGCCCCGGAGGACGCACAGCATCCAAGGGCAATATATCAGTTATAAACCGACTTTCGAGGTTTATAACTAACTTATACCACATTTGTGGAGGTTTTCTAACATATTTTGTCATTTTCAAAAATTTTTGATGAAAAATTTCGCGTTTTGTCGAAAAGTTTGATGTAATTATTTATTCAAGGTATATTAGCTAGTTATAAACCTTGGATGATCAAAGAAAACCGACACAAATGTGATATAATACATATTACATTGTAACAGTATTTATTCTGGTACAAGGTATATTGCATTTGTCTCTACAGTTTACAACAGAAAAACAATGTTAATTATATGTATAGTTCATATAAAGTTCATAGAATTTAGAGCAATAATATTTGTCCATTGTTGTGTCCATGGTACAAATTGTTTTATATTTTCAATACAGCACACTGTGGTCTTGTAACTTTTCTAAATAAAACAGCAAAATATATAGTCTCAGCTGTATGTTAAAAGATATAGACATATAAATAAAAAAGTTTAATTTATCACCGTAAAACAGATATATATATAAATGGGGCATCAAAAATTGGATAATTGACTTCCTCTCAGCATCAAAAATTGGATAATCGACTTCCTCTCAGATAGATCACGAGTGAAGCTTAGTAAGGACTGCCTATCAGACTGGGGCAAGATTCCCTCTGGTGTTCCCCAGGCTACCAAACTTGGACCCTGGTTATTCCTACTAATGATTGACGACTTGTCAGTTTCTGAAATTTTCAACATGTGGAAATGTGTCGATGACACTACAGTATCGGAAACCATATCAAAGGGGCAACACAGCCATGTACAACAGGCAGTGGACCAAGTTAATGAATGGTCAAAGGAAAACTTGATGCAACTAAACAGTGAAAAGACAAAGGAACTGATCATAAGTTTTAGCTGACCCCATCATCCACAATTCTCACCTACTATTATAGATGAAAACCCCATTTTGAGGATAACCAAAGCAAAGTTACTCGGGTTAATGATTAACGATAAACTGACATGGAACGATCATATTGAGGAACTAGTGAAGAAGAGTTCTCGGAAGCTGTATTTTTTAAAACAACTTAAGCGTACGCAAATACCATCAAACGA